TGGTGCTGTGGCTCAAGTGGTAGAGCGCTAGCCTTGAGCTGAAGAGCTGAGGGACAGTGCCCAGGCCCAGAGTTCAGGCCCCATGACCGGACCCCCCCCAAAAAAAAAAAACAAGGCCTCTAGTATCTACTAAGTTTTAAAGGACTTAATACTGCTTCAGAACTTAATATTAAATATGAAATGCTCTATACCTGATTATCAAATTATCAGACAATTTTAGCCATAATGTATTACATCAAATGTGTTTAGAAGCAATTTAGCCATACTGTAATCATTAATTCTAACCATTCTGCTAATAGTAATTGCTCCAAATTCCTTTTCAAAAGTATAACAAGGAGCCAGGCACTGGTTGCCTGTAATCATACTCAAGAGGCTGAGATTTGAGGACTGAGTTCAAAGCCAGCCTGGGCAGGAAAGTCCATTAGACTCTTATCTCCAATAAACCACTTAAAACCCAGAACTGGATTTTTGGCTCAAAGTGGTAGAGCACTAGCCTTGAGCAAAAGAGCTCAGGGATAGTGTCCAGGCTCTGAGTTCAAGCCCACAACTGACAAAAAAAAAAAAAAGATCAAAGATACATACCTACTTTTGGCCAAGTACATAGGGAGATGAGACAGACAGAAAAATAGACAGACATATAGACAGAAAGATAATAAATAGGTAACCATATATAGAATTCCTTATATGGTTAGACATAAAACATGAATCAAGCTAAGAAACTAGTGAGGGGGAAAGAGAAGAATGGAAAAAGAAAGGTGAGTAACTGTAATTCATGTCAAGTATACATGAGTATAACATGCAGAAACTCAATGAAAACTGTTGATCATTGGGGGAAGGCAGTGAGGGAAGAGAAATAGATGTTAAGTGGGTAAACACTAGCACTAGGGGATTATATTTGCAGTGGAGGACAAAGGACATTGAATACTGTTGGCATGAATTATTTGCAACTATGAAAACAAAACAAGAAAATCTGTTGGGGATATTATTACAGAGAGGCAAGGAGTGTGACAGAGGGTGAGATTGACTAGAATAGAGCGTAATCATGTGAAGACATAACAGTGACCTCCCCCTCCAAATAATACAAGCCAATTTTTAAAAATAGACCAGATAAAGTATACACTCATATAAAAGACTTTAATACAGGACCAAGCCCTGGTGGCTCACACCTCTGATCCTAGCTACTCAGGAAGCTCAGATCTGAGGATCCTGGTTCCAAACCAGCCCAGGCAGGAAAAGTCCCGTGAAACTCATCTCATATTAACCACCAGAAAACCAGAAGTGGTGTTGTGGCTCAAGTCTGAAGAGCTGAGGACAGTGCCCAGGCCCAGAGTTCACGACCCATGACTGACCCAAAAAAAAAAAAAAACCTTGAATTTCTCTGTTTGCATCCTAAAAAACCTAAAGTTAAAGATGCATTATTCCATATAAAAGTCTTATTAAATACAAATTAAACACATGAATAGACTCAATTTGTGAAAAAGTAACACCAACATACCTTGTCAAAGGGAATTCCATACTTTTTCAATACAGAAGGAGAAATCAATGTCATCTTGTGGCGAAGAAATGCATCACAACCTTGGGAGCTGCTTGGGAAAAATCCTAAAGGAGACAAGAAATCAAAGAAACATTATGTCAAATGAAACGATCTTTTTTCATATATTCAAGTTCCTATGTTCTCACAGAATTGCAGTTTTATTATCTACAGACCAACTCCATCAACCAAAACCTTCTTACTAAAACAATCTGTCAGAAATCTTAAAAATTAATTGGGTACTGATGGATCATATCTGGATAAAATCTAGAAGATCATGATTCAAGGCCAGCCCTGACAGAAAAACTAACTAGGTTTCATCTCCAAAATAAAATAGCAAAAAGCAGAGCTGGCAGCATGACTCAAGTGGTAGAGTATCAATCTAGCAAGTATAAGTGCTTGAATTCAGACCCCAATACTACAAGCAAAAAAGGAAGTTAAGGAATCCTTATTTATATCAACAAAATTAAACTATACATCAAGATTTACCAATAATTGTCTCTATAATATAAATTTAATAAGCCTCAGAAATCATTTTGGATTTGAAACACATTTATATTCAATGTGACTGTATCTGATAACCAGATAAAACATCAAAGCAAGTTATGTGAGTCTCTCACTGGGGACTCCAGAAACTGATGGTTCTAGAATCACACACACTGCACCCTACATATAACACACGAAGTAGTTTCCCAACTTTCTTTGCTTCTCATCTCTTTCAAACCAACTCCTACTTGTTTTTAATATTCTATAGCACAGAAGGATAACAGTGGATGGCAACATTTAATTGACTATCTGAAAATAGTTAATAGTCAGGATTTTTAATGTCTCAAATATAAAGAACAATGTATTCTGGAGTGAAGTCATATCACCTGTCCTTACTTGACCAATATTAATTATACACATATATTGAAATGTCACATAGTATCTTAGAAGATATAGATATAGAAGATATTATCATGAATTGATTAAAAATAAAAATAGAGCCTGATACCAGTGGCTCACATCAATAATCTTACTTAGAAGGATGATATCTGAGGATCAAGGTTCAAAAGCCAGCCCAAACAGGAAAGTCTATTAGACCCTTATCTCCAATTAAACACGCAAAAACGCCACAAGTAGATCACTAACCTTGAACAAAAGAAGCTCAGGAACAGTGCTCAGAGCCCCAGGACTGGCACAAAAATTAAATACACACATACACACATACATACATATACACACAGACACACACACATGGTTTTTGTCTTTTTTTTAAGCCATGGTTACTAATTTCCAGAAAGATCCTTCTGACTACTACCATGTAATATTGGCAATGTACCTCAGGATCCTGAGAGAAGTATTTTTGAGGATTACAGCAGGAAGCTGACCTGCAGCAACTTTCCTTTAGTGTATTAGACAGGAGGATATGGTCACTTTCTCCATCACCGGTTTCAACTATACAACTCTGTCAGAGGTAGGCTCTTAGTACTCTCCTTCAGGAAGAAAATTAAAACAAGCATGCCTAAAGCTCTGCTTGTCCCTTCCTTAATGGGTAGGGAGACAACCTCACTGGAGATGGTGGACAAACATGACACAGTGAGAAGAGACAGACAAGTCAGTGGAGAAACCCAGGAAAACACTATAGATGAGGATGGGGGAAAGCACAGATGCTGCTGGGGAAGGGAAAGCAGTTGGAAATGCCACATGTTTTACTCTGTGTTGTCTACACACAACTGACTCAAACACAACTACTCTGGTGAAGAATCACCAGAACTCATTAACTAATCATGAGTCATCTTCATCTGGTATAGCATTTCCCAGGAATATTTTAGTAAGTTTAAAAGCTTTAATTGATATCACCCTGGGGTAGTTAAGGCAGCAGCTCGCTGCGAGGGGGAAAGGGAGGGGGAGGGGGAGGGGAAGGGGAGAGGAGAGGAGAGGAGAAGAGGGGAGGGGAGGGGAGGGAGAGGGGGAGGGAGAGGGAGAGAAAGGGAAGAAAGAAAGAAAGAAAGAAAGAAAGAAAGAAAGAAAGAAAGAAAGAAAGAAAGAAAGAAAGAAAGAAAGAAAGAAAGAAAGGGAGAAAGGAAGGAGAAAAGAGAGAAAGAAAGAAAAGAAAGAAGAAAGAAAGAGGAAGGAAGGAAGGGAGGGAGGGAGGGAGGGAAGAAAGAAGGAAAAGAAAGAAGGAAGGAAAGAAAGGGCAAATGAGGTACAAAGAATCATTGTATTTAAAACAGAGAGAGAGAGAGAAGGGAAATATTCTGTACTACAATATTCCACAGGAATAAAAATGTGGTTTTGCCCTATGTGATAATCTGACACCGCCCTCTGCTTGTGGCCAATAGTCATAAGGGGGGGGGGGCGGAACTTTAATAGAGAAAAGCTGCCACACTGATATAAAGGTAATAAGATACACAATAATATCCTATCTGACACATAGAGAGGGTAAGGCAGTCCTGGGCAGTTCCCAAATGCACAACCCATGGAAATACTTAAATACTACAACTCAAGTGTATCTATCAAACCTTTCAAGTCTGCAACTTTATGCAGCACTAAACAAATTAAGTTTTAAATTAAAATCAATGAAGACAGAGGAGTCTATTTAATTTTCCTTTGATATGGATTTGTAATCAGGACCTGAACAATGTGGTGACTGGTCATAAGTTAATTTAAATTGGAAAATCACCAAAGGAAGGTAATTTGCAGTATTATTAAGAACTTCACAATGGTTCAAAATTATATTCACATGTTGTCAGAATTATATTTTATATTATCCTGAAAAACACCTCATAGTCAGCACAAGCTGGTTATTGTTGTTTTTGTTTGTTTTTTGTGGGATTTTTTATGGGGTCCGGTCGTGGGGCCTGAACTCTGGGCCTGGGTTCTGTCCCTCAGCTCTTCAGCTCAAGGCTAGTGCTCTACCACTTGAGCCACAGCGCAACTTCCAGCTTTTTTCTTTTTGCTTATGTGGTGCTGAGGAATTGAACCCAGGGCCTCATGCATGCAAGGCAAGTGCTCTACCACTGAGCCACCTTCCCAGCCCCATCAGAATATTCTATGTCACCAGTTAGAGACATCTCAGCATCTGTGGAAATTGATGAAAGGAAGTATAAAAACATGCCCTTCTGAATTCATTTATGTATAAGCAGTTTAGTTTCTTGATAGTCTCATTCTTTTAGAAAACTTTTTTTATTTTGAGAAATTTTATTCGAAAAGCCAAATCTAAAGACTCATCATGAAATGGAATTCAGCAGTTCATCTTTAAATTAAAATCTATTAGAATGAGTAGTACTTAACATAGTTTAAAAAAATCAAGTAACAATTACCAAACAAGAATTATTTAGGGGCTGGGAAGGTGGCTCAGTGGTAGAGCGCTT